AAAGAGGCATGTTTCAATGTAGAATCAGACTCTAGCAAAATACAAATAGGGAACAACGTATTTGTCCCCACATTAGAATTCCACCACATGGTTAATAGTTCATTGGAGAAATGCTTCTAATAATTCTTTCACATTTTTTTTTAAAAAGATTAATTTACATTTGTGATATGCCAAATAGGCCCTCTCAATTTTTTTTGAATGTTGTTTATTGAAAACAATACATGGTTATAAAGTTTAACTTCTACTTTTATTCAACTTTCATTTTCAAATACAATCTTGTCTCTAGTCATTGTCTTTTCTCTTATGCGCAATTTTTAGATTTTACAATGTTTGTAGATACTGAACGATCTGATTGCGAAAGTTTATACCAAGGGGTGCATTTCCATATAATGGTCCATAGTTGTTGACATTATCTGGAGGGAGGTCATCCAGCATGTCATTAACAGAGTCATTTGATAGAATGCAAATGTGAAGAACACAGCATGCAGTTATTACTTTGCAAGCACGTTCTATATCCAAGCAGGGTAGGCTTGTGAGCCTTCTGAATCTACACTTTAGTAGGCCAATGGCTCTTTCAACATTCTGACGTGATGTTGATAACTTTCTATTATAATGTCTCTGGGGGCAGTTAACCTTCCATTATCACGGAAAGGGGTCATCAGGTAAGGCTTCAGTGGGTAGGCAGATTCTCCTGTAATGTTTTGAAAAACTAACCTAAGTTTCTTTTATATGTATACATTAATATTTATTAAAATAAGAAAACCATGCATATTAACCTTAAATAAATATAGATACTATTTTCTTTGTTAACCCCAATAAGTTTGACAAAAAGAACAAAGATCTTGAGGTATCCTTTTTGAAATCTTAATGTGCTTTAATTTCGAAACATTTTACACAGTTAAAATTTTCTTACCAATCATGAAAAAGTGTGGATTTAAAATTCCATTTTCCAACTCATTAAAGATATCCGAGTTTCTGAAAACTCTGGCATCGTGGGTACACCCCGGCCATCCAACAAAACTATCCGTACACTTCTTCGTACAATATTCTTATAGGTGGAACAGGCTCGCTTCTGATAAAGTTAGCAAAAAATGTTGGACAATATCATCGTCATCATCCTCTATGTCCTCTTCCTCAAGAATGTAATCGACCGCAAACACTAATCCGACGTTATCAACCATATTTGTTTACATTGGAGCTCGACTCGAGGCATTCGATTACATACTCTATTGCGCATGCTCAACAATGACACTATTGTCTGAAGAGTTCTTATAATCGAATGTACCCCATTTTTCGTCACGGGTCACCTACATATTGACGTCACTTTCAAAGAAGAAGGTACGGTTTCGGCTTTATAGTGCCCTAAAAATTTAATGTTATTAAAAAGTTATGAAATTGGCTTTAACAATACTTGAGTAGGTGAATATAATAAATCATTAAAGAATATGGCATAAGGGTGGACCATTCTGGAAATATGACGTCACTAATTTTGTAAATTTCTAAGTTATATGAAGAAAAGCCTCAAAATGACTCATTTCTGTGCATATTTTCTTTCAGATAACATACTCTGCCACCGTCGCCCACTTCAATTTTTGGATATATTATGTAAACTGCTTTGAAAAATCACATATCTCAAAATCATTGTGGGCGACGGTGGTAGAGTATGTTTTCTGAAAATTGATGTCTACTGCAACTGTTGAAGAAAATACGGGAAAATGCACAAGTTAATGACGTCACAATTAGCATTTAGGAGGTCATTTGAGAAAAACGGTTTGTGTATTCTTACTGCAGGGAATTCCTATGATTCAGAAAGAATGAATTTTAATTTCTATCACTTTCATATTTTTGAAAGATACAGGGCTTCATTTGTATTGAAACTGTACCTTTTTCTTGTGACGTCACAATTATGGAGAGAATGATTACGTTTCATATGCTATTTACAGAACACGTGCTTGATTGTTGGTGTGTCAAATTTCATTCTCATCGGAATCGTGGTTTTATAAATACAGAAGTGATGAAAATGATGACTGTAAATCTATCTTTGACAATGATGAAGAGTTTTCTGATGCTGAAACAAATATTCTTAAAGAATTTGATAACATGCTAGACAAACATGTAAATGAAAATGTGCATGATGTTTTGATTTTAAGAAACAATCAATGAATATTGTGACACACCAGGCAAAACTGTTCCAGACACTGGTGTGTTATAAACCAAATATTTTTCAGAGTTGGAATGAAGCGTAAAGTCAAAAGGTTCAGGAAATTGAAGATGCAGTGTTCCCAAGAGTTGAATTTAAATTTACCAGTAAGCATATGAACAGCTTTTACATGGAGTTTAATAAGTATTTAAACTCTGGACAATTTCTACAGTCCACTTCTAGAGTCATTTATAGTTATACTAGTTCTAAGACCTTTGGAGTTGAAAACCATGTTTTGTCATCTGTTATTTGTTTAATATATAGAAAAAAAAATGATGGAAACTGTTCAATGTGATTCTCTGTCCAAAATTAAATGTGAAGAAAGTGATAACATTTTATCAGGTGGGAGAGGTAAAATAAGGTACATTGCTGGATACTATGTGGCAAAATTAAAGCCCTCTGTTTCAACCTCACTCAGGAATAAACTATTCAGTATCAAATTCCTGAGTGAGGTTCAGCATTTGCAGAGAAAAATACAACTACTCGAATCTGTATATCAGAAAGATAATTGGCTACATGTACATCTGATGCAGGAAGTTTGGAAGAGACAAAGAGGAGACAAAACATCAATGAAAGCTTGATCAATGTAAATGACTCTGTGTTTTCTTTTTCATGCTTCTGAATGAGAAATGTTGGAATTTCTTGAACTATGAAACATTGTTAAGCTAAGGTGAAAATCTTTTTCAAGGACTGAAAATGGTTATTCTAAATGACAAAGAATTGACTGTTGCCTGGACAGGTATCTTTGAAGATAGACTTGTCCCACTGACTTAAAATCCAAATGAAGAAGGCATTGCACATTTTATGTACATTGTATTGTTTGATTTATTTATTTACTAGTATTTTATTTTTTGTTGCTAGTCTAATACCCGTGATAAACTTTTCCATTTCCCTGACAGAGTATTATAATCAAGTGCACAATGCACTCTTTAAAAATATTATTTCATCGAATTAAAATTTGGGTGTTGCTCTAAGAAGCTGGGATTTTTGAAAGCACAAATGCCCTCAGTGTCTGATTCTTTGTTTTCTGCATATATATATATATATATATATATATATATATATATATATATATATATATATATATATATATATATATTTACATTTCAAATAATAAAACAAAATCACCTGAGTTTTGGAAATAACACAATTAAATTTAACTGCAAATGTTTTTGACTAATTTTTGAAATAAATATATCTGATTATACGTGTAGTTGGAAAACATTTTCTACCTGACGTTTGGTTTGTTGCATTTTTGTAGTACTGAAGGATGATTGCAGATGGAGGAACAAAAAACCCAATGGCTCGAATCCCTGTGTAGCCTCTTGGAGACGGCACCACAATGTTACACATAATCTGATAACTTCTTTTGACCATTTCCTCCCCTTGGGTTTTTAGGTCACTTAAGTAAACTCAGGTGACCTATTGCTATCCGTTTTCGTCCGTCGTCGTTCGCAGTGCGTAAACATTTGAACATTTTCAGCTTCTTCCCTGAAACCGCTGAACCAATTTCAACCAATTTTGGCATATAAAATCTATGGGTGAAGGGAAACAAAAATTGTGAATTTCATGGTCCCTGCCACCCTGGGGGTGGGGCCAAAACCTCTCAAAATAGTGCAATCTTTAAAAATTTTCTTTACTCCTGGACATTAAGCAGTCAAACTGTTTGTATGATTGTAATCAGCATTCAGTCCTCTACCAAAATTGTGAAATTCATGGCCCCAGGGTCAGGGGTTCTAGTGCTAGGGCTTGGCTAAAAAAATTATATAGTGAAAATGCATTATTTCTTTGAAGTTCTTCTTTTCTGCTCCTAGGATGCGCCCGGCGGCAACAAAGTTGAAAAACATATTTTTAGCATATAGTTCACAGCCAAGGTCACAAGGTCATTGATCTTGGTGTCATTTGAAAGAACTTGGGTTGTGAAGTATGCATACCAAATATGAAGTCTCTTGCCCTCATGGTTCAATAGTTATGGTGAAGGTTCTAAAAAGGTATTTTTAGCATATAGGACACAGTCAAGATAACAAGGTCATTGACCTTGGTGTCATGTGAAAGGGCTTAATTAGTGAAGCATAGATGCCAAATATTAAGACTGTATCTTTCTTTGTTCAAAAGTTATGGCAAAGGTTAAAGTTTGCCGACAAAAAAGATATATTTAGCATATAGGTCACAGTGAAGGTCACAAGGTCATTGAACATGGTGTCATTTTAAAGAGCTTAATCAGTGGTGTATGCATATTAAATATGAAGTCTCTATTTTTTACGGTTCAAAAGTTATGGCGAAGGTTAAAGTTTGCAAAAAAACCCAATTTTTAGCATATAGGTCACAGTCAAGGTCACAAGGCCATTGTACTTAGTGTCATTTAAAGAGCTTAATTTGTGGAGTATGCATACCAAATATGAAGTCTCAACAGTTAATGGTTCAAAAGTTATGGCAAAGGTTAAAGTTAGCAGACAAACAGACAGACAGGACAAATACAATATATACATATTGTACGTCTCGGATCTTTCGATTCGGGCGCATAAAAATCATATTTTTTAATCGTAAACTGAAGACGTATTTTGCAAAATGTCAATATTCAAGTGAGAGTACATTTACAATGTAAATACAATATCTAAAATGTAAATGAAGGACAGTAATAAAGAATTTATTTATAATCTGTTTTAAAAAAAACACCAGGGTCTCGAAGTGTGTTTTCACTTTGTAATGACAACACTTTGGATACAATTTTCACTTAAAATTTTTGGTAGAAAATGACAACTATGTAAAAGATTAGTAATCAAATTAAAGCCTCTGAAAGCCACATATATTAAAAATTTATATAATTTGTATAAACTGCACGCACTGATGACATTAAAATTGTAAGCAGTGTCACACCTTCTCGGCAACTAATTAATCAATAAACCACAAGATCCTAAATGCAGAAATAATTCGCAAAGTTCCTAAAACACGAAAGGAGAGAGAATTTTTTATATTATTTTACATTTCAACGATGACGAAATCTTAATGATTTGAACTGTTCTACAGAAACGTCATAATATACCATTATATCTCACAACGTTAAAATTAGTCTAAAACATATCTATAACTGAGGGCGTTCACTTGTACTAGTTAATTGTTTATGACAAGTCATTGTCTTTGCACTTCTTGGCGATTGATGATTAACAATGCAAAGGCACAATTCAGTTGTCAAATTCACATTAATGTCTCCAATGTGCTAATGAAGCTCACTCGGGTCTGCACTTTGGTTTGCAAGTTTTTATTCTTTTGTGGTTATCCCCTTTCCGTGAGTGTATTGCGAACACCCTATCTTAACAATGTTTCCACAAGCCTCTTCCTCCTCCCTGTTCTTAATGACGTAAGTAACGTTGCCAGCGTCATCTAGAAACTCGTCTTCAGCATAACCTAAAAATACAATACATCGGTGTACTGCAATGCAGATGGGATGTTGGTTCTATTAAGTGTATAATGTGCATGGATTGAAATTGTGTTTTATTTAGTTATAGGGTGAAACGATTTGAAATTATAAAGATGTTAAATTCCCTTTTTAGCAAAAATAAATAAATGCATTTTAAAAAGTTCAAACTCATTAAAACCTCATAAGAATTGTAAACCTGAAAGAAAATATATTTCGTCCTTTTTCCTTAAAATACAAACCCTGGCACTTGTTCATCAAGGAATAGGTTAGTCATTACACCAGACCTCGGTTTTTTAGGTCTCAAGCAAAGAACCATTCGCCATTATGAATAGATTAATATGTATACTTTTTAATTGAACACCGTTTAATTTCAATAAGACACCGCCATGAATCGTTGCTATTTAGTAAATTTATCATTACCTGGATGACTGACCGCCTCTGTCATGTAATGGTTATTCCAGATGCATTTTGGGTCGCCGAGTTCTTCTCCGTTTGTGCGGTTATCGTTATCCGAGTCCATCTTACACAATGTTGGCCAGTCATACTTGGCGTCTTTAAAATCCTATAAATCACATTATGAAAAAAAAAAGATATTTTTATCTTCGTTTGTTAATGTACAGACGATGGCATAATTTGTAATTTGCCTGTTTTGGAGATATATATAAATACAGTGAAATATCAGTATCTCGAATTTGATGGGTACTCGGGAAAAACTTTTGAGATATCCGGTGGTTCTAGATATCCAAAGTTGTCTTAAAATTTCGAATCAATAACTCCCCGTCTTGTTGATACCGGTATACGAGTGTATATCTTTCAATGCATAACACATGTGACGAGTCCTTCCGTTGTAAAGTCTCAATTATATGCGCAATAAATATACAGAACAAGAAGTGTTTGTGAAAAACTATGCACCCGGCGGCAACAAAGTTTAAAAAAACATATTTTTAGCATACAGGTTACAGTCAAGGTCACAAGGTCATTGATCTTGGTGTCATTTGAAAGAACCCGATTAGTGTAGTTTGCATACCAAATATGAAATTTCTATCTCTCATGGTTCAAAAGTTATGGTAAAGGTTCAAAAAAAGCTATCTTTAGCCATATAGACACAGTAAAGGTCACAAGTTCATTGACCTTGGTGTCATGTGAAAGGACTTAATTAGTGGATTATGAATGTCAAATATGTCAAATATTAAGTCTCTATCTTTCTTCATTCAAAAGTTAATGGCGAAGGTTAAAGTTTGCAGACAAAAAAAACTATATTTAGCATATAGGTCACAAGGCCATTGACCGTGGTATCATTTAAAAGACCTTAATCAGTGGTGTATGCATACCAAATATGAAGTCTCTACTATCTTTTATAGTTCAAAAGTTAAGACGAAGGTTAAATTTTGCAGAAAAAACTATTTTTAGCATATAGGTCACAGTCAAGGTCACAAGGTCATTGGCCTTGGTGTCATTTGAAAGAGCTTTATTAATCGAGTGTGCATACCAAATATGAAGTCTCTTTCATTAATGGTTCAAAAGTTATGGCGGAGGTTAAGTTTGCAGACAAACAGATAAACAGACAGACAGGACAAAAACAATATACGCCTCGGATTTTTCGATCCCGGCGCATAAAAACAATGAGGTTGTTTTCTTTATTGTGTATAATAATAATATAATTATAAAACAATCTTTTTTTTTTTTTAAGGAAATTGCTACTATGGTTATCTATTTGTACGAAGATACATATCGAACAATCATTCATATCACTGCGCATTACAACTCGGTTAAAACCTATTTAATTAAAGTTGATTGTAAATTTTTATGCGCCCGAAATTATTCGGGGCGTATATTGTTTTTGTCCTGTCTGTCTGTTTGTCTGTCTGTTGTCGACTTTAATCTTCGCCATAACTTATGAACCGTGAGAAATAGAGACTTCATATTTGGTATGCATACTCCACTAATTAAGCACTTTCAACTGACACCAAGGTCAATGACCTTGTGACCTCGACTGCGACCAATATGCTAAAAATAGCTTTTTCGAACTTTCGCCATAACTTTTGAACCATAGGAGATAGAGACTTCATATTTGTTATGCATACTCCACTAATTAAGTTACTTCAAATACCAACAAGGTCAATGACCTTGTGACCTTGACTTTGACCTATAAGCTAAAATTAGCTTTTTCGAACTTTCGCCATAACTTTTGAACCATAGGAGATAGAGACTTTATATTTGGTATGCATGCTTCACTAATTAAGTGCTTCCAAATGAGAACAAGGACAATGATTGTGTGACCTTGACTGTGACCTATTTGCTAAAAATTGCTTTTTAGAACTTTGTTGCCGTCGGGCGCATAGTGTTTTCAAAATACATCTTGTTTCTTATATGAATTCACAATGTTATAAATAAGTTGGGTTTAACTATCAAAACGAAACTAGATTTTCAGATGAAAAATGATTTCTGTAATTTTCATTTTCTTAAGCGCGAGACACAGATTCTCCGATTTGTTCGTTTTAAAATAGGAGCACATTTCTTCCCTAGTAATTTTAATTTTCTACCTGTAGACCAGACCCTGGACCTGAAACGAGGGCAGTTGTCACTCACTCAACCGCAGGTCAAACTGTTTGGCAACAAATTTGGCATGTCGCATTTAGGTGTTTGGTAGCCATAGTACAAAAATATTAATCTTCAGTGATGTTCTACGACTCTTCGCCTACATTATACTTAATACCTAAATTATGAAAAATGGAACATTTCATGCTACCTTAACACAGGAAAGATGCTTGCATCTGTAAGTTGTATGACAAAGTTCTGACGTCTTACTTTTCATTCATGAAATTATTTGCAATAAATGGTTTATCGAGCATACGAAAAAAAAAATCACGCACATTTGAGATACAAATCGCATGGTCTTTGTTTTATGATCTTATGTATGCTAAGATAATTGTGACTTGGATAATTTTAATAGATAGGCTTTAAAAACGCACCCATTAAATCTAACTAAAGGATTAACCTTTTGTGGCGAAGTGCTTCTGTTTGAAGATGATATCAAAATAATCCGAACTTCATGAATCTCTTTTAAAAATAAAAAGATTTTAAACTCTTAAATCTTTAAACGCCAATGATAAATAACCACTGCTAAGTATTATATAATGTAAAGTCCAATAATTAGGATATCCCCCTTCACTGCACACTAAAGAGTTCTGATTCTAAATTAATACAGTATTTTTTGCAGTTACATGGAGAGTGGCCTGCCCTCAGATCTAAATTCCAATGAATAGAAATTTGAAATACATCATTCAAATTGTAATAAATCCAAATGTTCTTAACATTTTCAAAGACCAACATAAATTAGTTTAACGTGTTACATGTATTTTCTCCATGGAAGTAAACAACAGTGATACTGATTTGCGTTTCCTGGGGATAAATGTCATACATCATATATTGCAAATTATATAAATATTAAGCTAAATATTTACACCTTAATTCAATAAAATGTCCAAAAACATTTTGCGCAGGTGTAGTGAGGCTCCTTAAATTCTAAATACACGTAAAATTTTATAAGCTCTTTGTTTTTTTAATTTCTCTGTCATTCATAACTGATCATCAGCCAAGTTAATTTATCACATAAAACACTATAATTATATTAGCTCAAATGCTATTACTTTTTTTAAATAGATAATTAATGATCAAATATATGGAGATAACGGAGCAGTATTCAATCTCAAAAGTCTATTTAACACTACAAAAAAGGAGAGGATAAACCACGGACCTCCAAAACATAAGAGGTGGGATCAGGTGCCATGGAGAAGTGAGCCGATCAGACACATCTGCTTTGTGCTCCCTGTCATGATGGGGAAATAACGGAAAGATCCGTCGTAGATTCAATGTGTAAACAAGAAGTCTGTGAGCCAGTGCTCACTAGTAATACCCCCCGCTCTGATGTGAATATACACTATCACAGTAAAAAGCACAAGTTCAGTTAGGAACAGACGCACGGATAAATTGGAAGTTGACATCATATTCATACCAAAAATTCCACCATACGGCATGCCTTTATAAAGAATGTACTCAAATTTCAAGCATCTGCAAAGAGTAGTTGCTAACAAAACTGCGACGAAAATCTGTTACGGACAGACGCACAGATAAACACAATTTACAGAAAGTTGACATCGAATTTTAACAAAAATGAAATCAAATTATATAACATGCATCAGCAAAGAATGTGCTAAAATTTGAAGCAGCTGCGATGAGCAGTTGCTGAGAAAACTGCGACAAAAATTTGTTATGTATGGTATGGAGAGATGCACGGATAAACAGGAAGTTGACATCGGATTTTAACAACCAGAAGTCTCTGTCGAGGCTGTAGCTCTACTGGTTTGTACTTATAACAAAGGATGAGAAAAGAAGCCATTGCCATCAGACCAAAACTGTAGGAGGAGTAGCATTTTAAAGGAATTTCACAGACAATTCTATTTTAAGTAACAATGGCAACACCGTTCATCGAAATCAAAAACCGATGCACTATTTTATGTATCTTAGTGTAGTCTACTTGTGTGCCAAGTTAGATTGAAATCAGACCAAAATTGTAGGAGGAGTAGCGTTTTAAAGGAATTTCAGAGAAAATTCTATTTTTAGTAACCATGGCAACACCTTCGAAATCAAAATCCGATGCACTATTTTATGTATCTTAGTGTAGTCTACTTGTGTGCCAAGTAATATTGAAATCAGACCAAAACTGTAGGAGGAGTAGCATTTTAAAGGAATTTCAGAGACATTTCTATTTTTTGTAACCATGGCAACACCGTTCATTGAAATCAAAAACCGATGCACTATTTTATGTATCTTAGTGTAGTCTACTTGAGTGCCAAGTTATATTGAAACCAGACCAAAACTGTAGAAGGAGTAGAGTTTTAAAGAAATTTCACAGAAAATTCTATTTTTAGTACCATGGCAACATCGTTCAGCGGAATCAAAAACCGACGCACTATTTTATGTATCTTAGTGTAGTCTACTTGTGTGCCAAGTTAGATTGAAATCAGACCAAAACTGTAGAGGGTGTAGCATTTTAGAGGAATTTCACAGACATTTCTATTTTTAATAACCATGGCAACACCGTTCATCGAAATCAAAAACCGATGCATTATTTCATGTATCTTAGTGTAGTCTACTTGTGTGCCAAGTTATATTGAAATCAGATCAAAACTGTAGTAGGAGTAGCGTTTTAAAGAAATTTCACAGAAAATTCTATTTTTAGTAACCATGGCAACACCGTTCAGCGGAATCAAAAACCGATGCATTATTTAATGTATCTTAGTGTAGTCTACTTGTGTGCCAAGTTATATTGAAATCAGACCAAAACTGTAGGAGGAGTAGCATTTTAAGGGAATTTCACAGAAAATTCTATTTTTAGTAACCATGGCAACACCGTTCAGCGGAATCAAAAACCGATGCATTATTTAATGTATCTTAGTGTAGTCTACTTGTGTGCCAAGTTATATTAAAATCAGACCAAAACTGTAGGAGGAGTAGCGTTTTGAAAAATTGTTTACAGACAGACGGACAGACAGACAGACA